GATGGATTGCTTAATGTCACGGTAACAGTATACAACGAAGGGTGGATTGCTTAATGTCACGGTAACAGTATAAACGAAGGGTGGATTGCCTATTGTCACGGTAACAGTATAAAACGAAGGGTGGATTGGTTAATGTCACGGTAACAGTTTACAATGAAGGATGGATTGCTGAATGTCACGGTAACAGTATAAAACGAAGGGCGGATTGCCTATTGTCACGGTAACAGTATAAAACGAAGGGTGGATTGCTTAATATCACGGTAACAGTATACAACGGAGGATGGATTGCTTTATGTAACGGTAACAGTTTACAACGAAGGATGGATTGCTTAATGTCACGGTAACAGTATACAGCGAAGGGTGGATTGCTCAATGTTTATGTAACAGTATACAACGAAGGGTGGATTGCTTAATGTCACGGTAACAGTTTACAACGAAGTGTAGATTGCTTAATGTCACGGTAACAGTATACAACGAATGGTGGATTGCTTAATGTCACGGTAACAGTTTACAACGAAGGGTGGATTGCTTAATGTCACGGTTACAGTATAGAACGAAGGGTGGATTGCTTAATGTCACGGTAACAGTATACAACGAAGGATGGATTGCTTAATGTCACGGTAAGAGTTTACAACGAAGGGTAGATTGCTTAATGTCACGGTAACAGTATACAACGAAGGGTGGATTGCTTAATGTCTCGGTAACAGTTTACAACGAAGGGTGGATTGCTTAATGTCACGGTAACAGTTTACAACGAAGGATGGATTGCTTAATGTCTCACTTTACTAGTGCTCAGCTGTGTTACATGTGCTATGAAATATGGCAGTATCCGTTAGACACAACACATGTCTCAATCAAATGGGAAACCATTGAAAGATACCAGAAAGATAATTTAGTCAAGCCCTTCTGAGTTTCTGGTCCTCAACGCCAAGGCTGATCTCAAAGACACCATTGTGGTACACTCCCAGCACCATCAACTGTGAAAAGATTTGACGTATAACCGAAGTCTTCGCGTCCGCAATAGCATGATGAACAATACTGACTGAATTCCCAACTGTTGGTCAAGCTAGAAACACCACTTGACCAGGACAAAGGAGGACTGATCACTTCCTGGGCAGCACGGCCATGTCCCCAATCATGGTTATTGTCAAAGTTCTCACTGCTGAATATCATCAGATAAGGCAGAATAAATATAATACGTTCTGTTTATATTCTAATCTGTTCATTCATCTGTGTTACTCATCTTTCGATAAAGGTTAAGATAACAAATGATCGGAGTCTGTCCAACAATCCCTGAACCATGTTATTCTCCCTTACACCCAATGTTTGAAGTGAGTCTAGACTTTCTTTACGTTCTGATTTCCCACCTCACTGGGTCTCTTTGTCAAATAAAAGAGTTTCTTGCTTCTGTTAAAATATATTGCCAGAGACTAGCGTTAGTCCAGGAGCTATCGTTGTGGTTTGCATTCACATAGTCGTGTTGCATCTTAACGCAATGTCAATGAAATTTCACATCGTATGTATGATCATCGCGTGGTGCAACTGCACAGTCAGTAACTAAACCCGGCTCTGTACTGCCCGCCTGAAAGTAAAGCGTCTTGCTGCAGCTTACCAAAGGCGGCAAAGACTGGGTTCAGCTGGCCAACGCCTATGATGGGCTGAGCATCAATGTTGTTACTCCATGTTTACAGTCGGGGCAAGGCTTTGACTAGGATACAAAGATGGCAACTAACGTTCTGGCGACGTAGAGGTGAGCCAGGACACCCGAGTCTTTAACATGATAGGGTCATGGTTTGGGGCGCTGTCACACATTAGAGCCGATCTTATTTGCTTATTGTGAAAGGACATTTTCAACGACAAGATGACAATAACAGACCCCAATCGTTCCAAGGTGGTCACTGATTATCTCTGACGAAAAGCTAAACGTACATTGGTGTGGCCGCCTGTCCACTAACATGCCCCTTACACAGATTGTGGGGGACCTGATCCTCTCCTTAATTCACACATAATCACCTGTTATTCTGCTTAACTCGGGGCGGTGGGGTAGCCTAATGGTTAAAGCGTTGGCTCGTCACGCCGAAGACCCGGGTTCGAATCCCCACATGGGCACAATGTGTGAAGCCCATTTCTGGTGTCCCCCGCCGTGATGTTGCTGGAGTATTGCTAAAAGCGGCGTAAAACCAAACTCAGTCAGTCAGTCAGTCTGCTTAACTCACACTGCTACTCGACTAAATCACCCGTTGCTCTGTTTAATTCACACTGTTACTCGCTAAATCACCTGTTTCCTCTGCTTAATTCACATTGTTACTCGCTAAATCACCTGTTTCTCTGCTTAATTCACACTGTTACTCGCTAAATCACCTGTTCCTCTGCTTAATTCACACTGTTACTCGCTAAATCACCTGTTTCTCTGCTTAATTCACACTGTTACTCGCTAAATCACCTGTTTCTCTGCTTAATTTACACTGTTACTCGCTAAATCACCTGTTCTCTGCTTAATTCACACTGTTACTCGCTAAATCACCTGTTTCTCTGCTTAATTCACACTGTTACTCGCTAAATCACCTGTTCCTCTGCTTAATTCACACTGTTACTCGCTAAATCACCTGTTGCTCTGCTTAATTCACACTGTTACTCGCTAAATCACCTGTTACTCTGCTTAATTCACACTGTTACTCGCTAAATCACCTGTTTCTCTGCTTAATTCACACTGTTACTCGCTAAATCACCTGTTTCACACTGTTACTCGCTCTGCTTAATTCACACTGTTACTCGCTAAATCACCTGTTTCTCTGCTTAATTCACACTGTTACTCGCTAAATCACCTGTTACTCTGCTTAATTCACACTGTTACTCGCTAAATCACCTGTTACTCTGCTTAATTCACACTGTTACTCGCTAAATCACCTGTTTCTCTCTTAATTTAATTCACACCGCTAAATCACCTGTTTCTCTGCTTAATTCACCTGTTACTCGCTAAATCACCTGTTTCTCTGCTTAATTCACACTGTTACTCGCTAAATCACCTGTTTCCTCTGCTTAATTTACACACTGTTACTCGCTTAATTTACACTGTTACTAAATCACCTGTTTCTCTGCTTAATTCACACTGTTATTAAATCACCTGTTCTCTGCTTAATTCACACCTGTTACTCGCTAAATCACCTGTTACCGCTAAATCTGTTTTTCTGCTTAATTCACACTGTTACTCGCTAAATCAAATCTGCACCTGTTTCGCTAAATCACCTGTTTCTCTGCTTAATTCACACTGTTACTCGCTAAATCACCTGTTCCTCTGCTTAATTCACACTGTTACTCCTAAATCACCTGTTCCTCTGCTTAACACCGTTACTCGCTAAATCACCTGTTTCTCTGCTTAATTCACACTGTTACTCGCTAAATCACCTGTTTCTCTGCTTAATTACACACCGTTACCGCTAAATCACCTGTTTCTCTGCTTAATTCACACCGTTACTCGCTAAATCACCACCTCTGTTACTACTCGCTAAATCACCTGTTCCTCTGCTTATTCACACTGTTACTAAATCACCTGTTTCTCTGCTTAATTCACACTGTTACTCGCTAAATCACCTGTTTCTCTGCTTAATTCACACTGTTACTCGCTAAATCACCTGTTTCTCTGCTTAATTCACACTGTTACTCGCTAAATCACCTGTTTCTCTGCTTAATTCACACTGTTACTCGCTAAATCACCTGTTTCTCTGCTTAATTCACACTGTTACTCGCTAAATCACCTGTTTCTCTGCTTAATTCACACTGTTACTCGCTAAATCACCTGTTCCTCTGCTTAATTCACACTGTTACTCGCTAAATCACCTGTTCCTCTGCTTAATTCACACTGTTACTCGCTAAATCACCTGTTCCTCTGCTTAATGCATGCTGCTACTCGCTAAATCGTCCATTATTTGAAATGAGCAATGAGATATGTCTGTGCAAACATTGCTTGCGCTGAATTCATATCTCACATTGTTTGTATAAATCACGACTGCTATTCTGCTTTATCCCTGGTATCCCAAGTTAACGCCCATCTGTCGCAATATTGAATTTCCTGTCACCCCGCTGACGCTCATCTGTCCGTCTGATAATCGTACTACTTCGTTAGTTTCTCTTACAACATCTCGTTCCAGCACTTAAACGAACACACCGCCAGATGGCAAGAACGCAATAACTTATATCTAATGAAGCTACAAATTGTATCACAATGCCGCACGTACCTCGTGAGACTCCGAATCAGCGAGTTGGATAATACATCATGGGCAAATGTTGTTTTTATCATGTGACAGGTTGCATAGTATGATGTTAAAGTATTCGGACACTTTAATTACATTTTTTCTTGAGGGGAAGACTCCAAAATGATTGAACATTAAAACTTGGATAACTGAACTAACAAAACATGATAAAGTGCTAGGATTGGGTGATGGACTTGCCAATATGTTCCTTGGTTTGTCGGTGTTATGGTCGTGGTCATGCTATCCTAGACCTGCACCACTTGACTGACGCTCCATGACTGACTCACCTGAATACAATCCTGAAACTTGGTGGTACATTGTACTATAGTGTAGTTCCATGTCTCTTTCAAAGATTATATGATTTATGCGATTCGATGAAGGATGTCTTGTGTGATAGATTCACAAGTATTTATTTGGAATAACACTACCTTGGTGATAAGTCCGATATTTCTGAGCTGTATCGTAAGTCGTGTAATGTACCATAGACTTAGAATGCACACATATCATCACCGATCGCTCCTTTGTGAAATGTGTTATGCGGTTATGGCATTCACGGGAGGGAAAGAGACAGGATGCTATAAATAACAAATTTTCTGTTGTGAGTTCAGAATCACGCGAGATAACGTCAGCTGGACAGGTCTGACAGACACGTCTGAATGTCACGCGAGATAACATCCAACATGAAGTCATTACCAACACATCTTTATCTGAAAACGACAAATAAAAGTAGAATCGCATTGAGATACTCACCTAAAGGCAAGACGAAGAAGAAGGGGAACCAGCACAAAATAAACACCCCTACTACAATCCCCAACGTTTTGGCAGCCTTTTTCTCTCTTTTAAACTTGGCAATCCTTCCTGCTAATGTAAGTCGCGAGGCGGCTTTCCGACCCGATCCCTCCGAGTGTTCACTGGAGCTGCTACTCTGGTACATTGGGGAAGGGGTTTGAGGGCTCTTACCCGTATGAATTCTTAACGTCACTCCCTCACATTCATCTATTTTCGAAGTTTTTACCCCTGTTGACAAAAATTTTGAATGTTTAACAGCCTCTCTATATATCCGTATATACACAACCATAATGATGAAAGTTGGTATGTAAAATGAACCAGATACAGAAAACAGCACATATCCTAGCTGTGTGGTGACGTTGCACACCATTGGGTCTGAATCCGGAGGTTCCTTCCAACCTATGAGAGGAGCTATGGAAATGGTCACTGAGAGTATCCATACAAGCAGGATGATATACACGGCACGTTTCTCTGTCATGATGGTAGAGTGTTGAAGCGGTCGGGTCACCCCGATGTACCGATCTATACTGATCACACAGAGACTCATGATCGAGGCCGTGCAACACAACACATCAATTGCGGCCCAAACATCACAGAATACCTGGCCAAAAGCCCAGAAACTTAGAACTTCCAGACTTGCAGAAAAGGGCAGAACTGTTGTACCCAAGAGGAGATCAGCTATTGCCAGGTTAACAATGAAATAATTTGTGGTGCTTCTGAGGTGAGAGTTGACAAACACAGCCAGCAGCACCAGCACGTTGCCACATACAGTCATGACCACTATTAGCCCCAGAATTAGCCCCACGGGTATGGCTACTTTAAGGTCGATGACCCCATCACCTGAGGAAGTGGAGTTGGTGGTAGTGTTATCCGAATAGGTTGGAGTTGAGTTAAATAGGAATTCTTCCATCACACGTACACATACGTTCGTGGGACATGAAAGAACATGTTTGGAGTGAGAGGATGCTCTAATCCCTTGTGTTATCCAGCCTTCTGTGCCTCTCTGCAACACTGAGGTCACATCAGTCACATTGCGGGGTAACCAACTTGCAGTACATCATCACGTCCCTTGTAACATTGCTCCCATGTCTTGACAATCTGAAAGTAAAACAAAAATACTGTGAAAGCAGAAAACATCAATTTAACCAATTTTCAGTTTTTTGGTCAGTCATGTAATGCTCACAGAATTGGAAACCATGCAAAACCGTTTACTTGATTGATTTCAGAGGATGTAGAAATTGAAAAGAAGCTTCAGACACCCTCATGGTTAATACAGACTTGGAGTACATAAGAACCTTTTCAAAGGCTTATGAGAAGTTTTTCTAGACGACAAGGACTGCTTTCTGATGTTCTCTTGCAGAAGCCAAGTTGAGGAAAAGGAGTTTGGCGTGAGTGGTCGGAGAGGAGACTTGTCACTGGACGCACTGGCCAATGAGAGATATATGTGGGCCGAGCCTAGTATTCCCGGATCAATACTTAACCGTTGCTCGATGCCTGCCTCTCGCTCGACGAACAGTACTGGCTTAGGGTGTTCATTGACCAGACTACCTTCAATGAGCCTATTTCTAGGTTGCTTGTGTCACTAGAGGGTGTCTCTGAACAACACCAGCCTGTAGGCGTAATTAGGATATTGCCCATCAGGTTTTATATAGATAGTACCTTTAGACGGACTTAATGCAATCGATTAAGTTGTTTTTATTCATATTGACAAGAAAATTAAGCAAAGGACTCTCTTGCAAGGCAACTGAGTTAAACGTTTAATTTATCATGAACATTTTGTATAGTGATAAGGAAATTGGTGATAAATCGTGTATATTTTTTGGTTGTATTGCTGTACGGTAATGTATCGCAGAGCCAAGTCACCTATCTCGCCTTAATGCTTCAGAGGTTTTGTAATAACTGAATATGTTGACACCCATGTTTGGCCTTCCCTTCTTATCATATCGATCAGTCCCTGTTAGTTAGTAATAAAATAGACCATCCCCCGTGGTAGTTTAGGCTGATTTCAGCAACGTCAGCAGTCGATAGTTTGAATGGCTCTCCTTAATCATGACTTATAGTTAAACCATGAACGCCGTCATACACTGGGAACCCGCAGTTTAATGACCACACCATCAAACATCAATGTACGTAAAAGTTGGAACGTTGGAGTAACAAATAATTTAGTGCTGGTGAGTTGCGAATATTACTGCGCTGGGCAAACATCTGAAAATATACATTAGCCCACTGCAGACAACTTTATTTAATGAAGTGACGTGCATATATAATAGAAACGTCATGTGGTGGTACATCAGTCTTGTGATGATATGTCCAGCTTTGACTCCTCACTGTAAGGGATGTCAGTGAGGATTTTAACTAGATAATGTCTGTCACTTCTAAACCTCGGGTATTGACGTACCATGCACTGCGGCGTAAACAGAAGTATTGACAACGAACAGAATGATACGTTTTATGTAATTTTAATGCATATCTGTAATCCATGTTGATTGTTATGTATTCTGCCATTGATCTGGCGTTAGAAAATTGAGACGCAGTGATGTGCAGAATCTCCCAGTGGCCCGCATGTGCAGGAGGTAGTGATTGCATTGTTAGCATCTCATCGCTTCGCCTCACCAAACACTGTTTTATAGCAATGGGGACATGAATTATATACACTCTATAACAAAGATACCTGTATACACGGGACACGGGGCCTGGTTGGCAAGCCACCTGAAAGCCAAGACCCCTGAGACATGTATTTTCTTCCCGACATGTGTTGTATTGTCTTGGTACATGTTGATACTGACTGTTTACGATTGTCCAGGTCAATACGTCAACAAGCATGTCGAAACAGGCTTAGAATTTCCGCCGATATAATTTGTATCCCCATATATAATTACTAATGAGATATGTATGAAGAAAGCCCAACATGCCGCACAAGACTTCACTAACGTGTTGGTTCCTCGTCGAGGTGTATCTGTACGTATCCCAGATGACAAAGTCAAGGAAGCCTATAAAGCACACCATTGTGTTAAGCAATTTTAAGCAGCATATTTCTTATTCTCGTCTACCATTAATACCTACTGTGGAACAGTGTTTGTAGCATTAAGTCATTTACACTATCGCCGTAGTGTCGCCAACTGACGACGTCAGCTTCAGGTGGTCAGTCCTATCTCATGCTATTCTATTGCTGCCAATGGCTTGGTACTTGCACTCTACTTGGAGCTAGGCAGTAAGGTAATATACGGATCAGATTGAGTAGAATGTATCGGTATCTACCGACTGAATGGATACCTCCTTTCAAGTATCAGCATCCATTGATCAAGGGTTGTGAACGTTAAAAGTTGTGTGTGTTACTTATACATCGTCACGATATTTGCAGTTTACAATCATTTCAAACGTACAAACTCATCTGAGCGTTCCGTTACATGTTAAACGAGTCTGTTTATGACATTTCCTAGCTTTACGAGCGCTTTTAAGTGTTGTCGACACGTTGTTGAATCCGAGCAATATTCTCATTCAGTAGCCGCAGCAAAAACATGTGTATCTGAATCCTAAATCTGCAATTCGTTCGAGAGTTTATTTCTGTAGCATACACCTTACACACTAACATCTACTGCAACGACATCCCCATGCAACCTGTTGGGAATGCAACTCACATAAGAAAAACTAACTACCTTGATTGATACCAAAAAGAGATTATGTATGCATTTGGCTTTGGGTAGCTTTAAAACTGGTTCGTGATGTGCTGGTTAATACATTGAAACCAACATGAGCAATGAGGTAAATGTTTCGCTTTCACCTCGACTATGAGGAGTCGCCGCTGCTACATTAGCCTGGAACCTGAGGTCGGAACCTAGCACTAAACTCTAAACCTAGCACTAAACTCTAAACCTAGCACTAACCTCTAAACCTAGCACTAAACCCCCGTCTTAACAGGCAATGCTTCCAACTTTCAATGACTACGAAACTGATCTTTTTTAATTTTCGGGCTACGATGAAACTCGAACCATAAAACTAGAAAGTCTGTTTTTCCACATTCAGTGAAGAGAGAAGCTGGATATTCCGCGGTAGTAATCTGATGTGAAAGATAAGATGGGGATCGTGGCGGTCACTGATTCTGTTTTCCCTTTTTGCGGTGAAAAAGGTGCGTCTTCAGAAGTTCCATGCGGCTGTTTAAGATATATGATACTCCGATCGTCATTGGCCATGACCTTAGTGTACGGTGGTGGAAGCGGTTTAGATTCCTTGAGGACCCAAATTGAAAAATAGGGCCATAACAACATATCGACACTTCAAGCGCTAATAATTTCTTATATCATCTGCGGTTTGAAGATAAATGAGTTGCAAGCGCCAAAACGATCGCGGACAACATATCACCGTCTCAGAAAGTGTGAGACAAGTAATTAATCCCCAAGTGCGTCCATTGATATTATATCAGCTAGATGTGTTTTGACAGCAGTTGACCATTACGCTCGGAACAACTGTCATGTAACATTATGAGTTTTGTCCAGACACTGAATAACGGCCATGACCTTTGACCACTAGGCGAATAACGACCAGGACGTTTGACCAAACAGCGAATAACGACCATGACGCTTGACCAGACAGTGGATAACGACCATGACGTTTGACCAGACAGTGAATAACGACCAGGACGTTTGACCAAACAGCGAATAACGACCAGGACGTTTGACCAAACAGCGAATAACGACCAGGACGTTTGACCAGGCAGTGAATAACGACCAGGACGTTTGACCAGGTTTCAATGTATTTTTAAATGATTAATATGTGTCTATAATTCAAATGTTTTATGCTACCCTGGATCAATTAATGTGTGTAGGCCATGGCTTGAATGAAGTCTTCAACAATGAGTTGTGTCAAACAATGTTAGCACAAGTGCCGTGATGCACAAACAATGTGCATATCATGCGAGTTAACTCCACTGTACACGCAAAACCCGTCAGCGCACATAGACATTGTTGTTTTGTTCATACGTTGTGCTCATTCAATAACATAACGTTCGGCATATAATCCTTAGTAATTGACGATAGTCTAGATCATGAATTGGTCATATTATTCATTTGTGTAATCTTATCATTTGTGTAATATTATCATTCTGTTTAAGTTGTATTCTGTTGGGACGTAGACAACGGTAGTAAAGTAATTTACATTTACAATAGAACCAGAAATTATTGAGAATTTTAAAAAGATTGTAACTTTTTTTATTGTTTTCACTCATTACTCACGTATTAAATGTGAATATTAGCAGAACATAAATCCAGATTCAAAGACAGATGAACAGTTAGTATTTTGTCAAGTCACCATGGGCAGCAATGCAGGCTTCAATGCGGCGGGGCATACTACTGATCAAAGAAGTTAGAAAGTCGTGGTCCATGCTGTCCCAATATTGGACCACGTCTTCTTTCATTTCAGCAATATTTGTCAGATTTTTCTTATTGACACTTTCCTTCATAAGTCCCCAAACATTTTCTATTGGATTTAGGTCAGGGCTAAAGCTTGGCCAATCTAATAATGTCATATTTTGGGTCCGAAACCAGGCCTGTGAATGCTTTGAACGATGTTTTGGGTCGTTGTCCTGCTGGAAAATCCCCAAATTTCCATAGAACACGTGAGCAGATGGAAGTAAATGTCCCTCGAGAATATCTGTGTACCGTTCACTGTTCATATTCCCTTCAAATAAACAGAGGGGCGTTGCCCCTAACACAGATATGCCACCCCACACGTTAAATTTCGGACTGTACTTTTGGCGCTGATACAAAGGTTTTTCAGTTTGTTTGGTCCAGAATTTCAGTGTATTAGGAAACAGCCCTGCACACAGAACTTTCATGTGAGAAAATCACATTGTCCCAGTTAAAACTTCTATGTTGTAAGCACCAGTTCAACTTTCGCTCCTTTTGTTCAGGTTCCATGATCGGTGATGGAATTCCTCGACTTTTCTGCCAACCCATTGCATGCAGCTCAGTTCTAATTGTCTCCTTACAGACAGCCACAGTTCCTCTATCAATCATATCCAGCCATAGGTTTTCTAAACTCCTTCGTTAGTTTTTAGAAACAAGAATACCAAGCCGCCTTCTGTCACCGACAGTCAATTTTTC